TGTAGGGTCTAAGGACAGTTGTAAAGATCCAGGACATTTACATTTAGAACAATGGTCATCCGCCCCTTTTGGAACAGTGACTCCTACTGTATGTGTTTGCTATCATTGTATTTTTTGTGTTTGAACGGTTTGATTCTCTAGTCTGTGTTGGCGAATCGACAACTTTGTGAAGTCCTCTGAGATGACTGCTGTTGTGATTAACGGAATATACAAAAATACATTTCATTGCATATTTTGGACATGAAGATGCTTCACATGTCATTATTCACTCACTCCATACTTAGTGGTGATAAATTACCACTGAAGCCACAGCTGCCCTGGGGCACACTGACAGAAGCGAGGCAACCTGTATGTGCCGTCTACCCCTCTGAGCACCACCAACTATTCACACACACGCACTCATTCTAGGCAATGTGGGGAAGCGTCTTGCCTAAGAACACAAGTTACAGATTGGCACAGTTGTGTTCCCAGAGGTCTCCCATCATAGTACAAACCAGGCAGTTTCCTGCTTAGCTTCAGAGGTCTAACGGGATCCGACTTTCCCATGCAGATGGGGCCACAACAGATTTAAGCCATACTCCTTCATTTAAAATGCATAATATACCAACCCCACATCAATCAGAATGAATCCAATCCATTGAAAACAAAAGCAGTTGTTTACATTTATTTTATTTCTATTTTCATTGACAGAGATGGGCTGGATCAGTTTGACTCCTGGGCCTTAAGATGAATAGGTCTGGTGTCAGGTTTCAGCCGCTTCCTGACACTTGCATAGGTATCAGTGTTCAGAACATGATGGAGAGGGCGCTGCATTGTGTAAAAGGCCTCACCATCTGGCCTCATAAAACCCAGAGCACACAGAGCCACTGTTCTGCAGCACATTCAACAGTTCTGTCACACGGCTCTATCCCACTTCCAGCAGTCACTCATAACTATTGACCATTTTAGAAATATTCAAGCCTTGGTTTGGTCAGAACTGCCAGAACAGTGAATTTGATGGCTGTTAGTTTAGGAAGTGTAATTACATTGTTGGTCTCCATAACTTTGTGACTTTTTCTGAATCTACATGACATTTCTTTTTAAAATGTGAGTAATTTTTTCTTTAGCTGAAATATTTCTTCTTTTTATTTTTACATGGAAATTAAAGCCCCTCATGATGTGGGTCCTGGACTGGTCCTGGACTGGTTTGGAGCCGAGCGAGTTTGGTTTTCCATCGGAAGAACTGACGATAGTTACCATAGCAACGCATTGTTTACATGCAGCAGTTAGCACTTTGTCATCTTTCAGCTTTTCTTTCTGTATTTAATTTTCACCAGTTTTAGCACTAATTAAAAGTGCCCAAAGGTAGTTAAACTGGTGGAAAAGTAAACATTTTTGGGACCCCATTGGTTTGTATGGGAGCATTCAAAATGACGGCTCTGGGAGTAGTAGTTTCAGATTTCTGGGAGTCCTACTGATAAAACGTTGCTGGACCACACACCAACACTAAGTCAGATACATTCATCATTCATATGTTATGTTTTCAAATGATGTGTATTGTTACGTCTTGTAAACTGATCCAGTGTTCACAAATCTGTCCTCCTCAAAATCATAAAGCTCAAAATTGACGAGAATAATGTCCATTTGGTTTAATTGGTCTGACAGGATGTTGTACTTTGAGCCTCTTTTCCCTCTATGTTGTTTGGCTCAGATTTGCAGTTTATTTGTGAGTGAGTATGCAAATAAACAGTGTCCCGCTCACACCCTTTCGGAGAGATGATGTTACTCTAAAACTACCCATTTTAAATCACAAAATACATACTTTTAAAGCAACACATAAGTTTATCTGAGACACCGGGTCTGTAATTGATGGTTCCATATCCAGTACTTATGACAGTTTGTGTGTCTGTCATATAGTATCCATAAAACACATCTGCTTACGCCAGCTCTACAGGCTCATTTTGATAGAATAGAGAAAATAAATGGTACATGCATACAGCCTTCTACGGGGCTTTGCTATTGGTTGGTTACCTGAGGCCCCAGCCTTCTATCATCCGCTCCTGTCCTGTCCTGTCCCTGTCTATACTGTCCTGTCCTATTCTGTCCTATCCTGGAACCTATAAATATCTGGAAGAAGACCATTGCACTCTCTTTGAACTCAGCCAAAGGTAGGAGCAGACCTTGGGGGGAAGGCAGGGGTAAAGGTGGTTAGAGTAAAAGAGAAACCAGGCATTTTAATGGTTAATTTCTCCTGTGTGAGATCAACAAAGTCTTATCTTATCCACATGGATTATGCTTTGTTATTGTGTAATCTGTATCTGAGTTATTCTTATTTGAATGTGTAAATATTTTGATACTACTTATAAATTTCTGTCTCTCAATGTAGGGAGGTGAATTATCCTGGGACAGCCATTTTAAATAACATTTTAAGTCAATAGATTTCAAATTGTAGTTGTACAAGAAACACATCTGTAAATGAGGTGTGACCGTTGTGCCGATTGTTTAAGGTTCTAGAGACCTCAACCATGTGACAGAGCTGATGAGTTGATGGAAAAATGAGATATGTCAACAACAAAAAATCAAAAATGGTCCAAAACATTTCGGGAGTGTATTTTTTGCATATGAGGTAATCACAGCTCACAGTGGTTTGAACCATGGTAAAGGATTCATAATTTGAGTTTTAGAGGGTCGGAGATGTGACCAGTGTCTGAACGGTGGGAAACTGTGAAAGTGTGTTTAGTTTGTGGAATAAATGGTACATATGAAGTTTACCTCTGATATTGTGGAGCTTGTAATAGGAGAGGGGACAGAGGGGATTGTCAAAGCCTGTAATCTGGGAACATCTGCAGTGTCCTGAAGCAGCAGCACAGGACACACAGGAGAACCCTTTAGGGACCGTCGCTTCACTATTATTATTAAGGTCTTACCAAGGTGAAAACAGTTGGAGAGAGTTGTGGACATTGGTCGGGGAAAGCCTTATATACACACTGCAGTGTTTTTGACGTGGGTTGAAGCGTTTCAGCGTTGACCTGAGACAACAGTGAGAAATGGCGTAAAAACAAAGAGTCAAAACACACATTTCAGACTCAGTCAAAAGCCATAGCTCAGTGTTTGCGGGACCAAAGGGAATCTCAGTCAAATGGACGAGGATCATCCGTGTGGAGCCATATAAACATTTTCAAACATATTTTTCTTACGAGGACAATTTATAAAGGAAAGAACAGCGCATCACAATGCAGAGTATTGTCCTTTGTGTGACTTGTGTGTAGTTTTATGGCGTTCTGTAACCGACCCACATGTAAGCAACAAGCCATAAAACAGTTTGTTTTTATTGCTGTCTAAATCACCACTACATTTGGCCGTAGTGTTCCCAAGATCAAAAGTCTGATTGAGCGGTGGTCTGCCCTGGCACGCTAGTGGCTTGCTCAGTATGTAAGGAAAAGGTTTTTGATCCAAAATGCCATGTTTCTGATTTGTGGTAATGTAGTAATTGTCTTACCCTATGGAAAAAACAGTTAAGTTGCAAAAAGTTTGCTAAAACGAAATAAAAATCAAGACCGGGTCGAATATATGTAATTAAAATTGTGTTTTAATAAACTCTGGCTGCGAAGCACAACATTTAAAAATAATGTAATTAAAATGTAATAAAATGGCCAAATTTAAAAATGCAATAAACATTCCATTCAAGAATTAATTTTCCATTTGCAGTAAAACCACATTGGAAAAACTGTGTGAGCGGCGCCATTTTTCTGAAATGTACAAACC